TATATATGTACGTTTATGTATATATTTATATTTATATATTTAAAGTATATATATATATATTTAAAGTAAAACTTTGCACACACACATTAGTTTTTCCTGTTAATATTGATTACTTTGAGTCCATGTATATAGTTCTTGCAACTCACTGATTTAAGTCAATGTAATAGATAACAAGATCTACGAAAAAAGGACTCCTACACTTTTATTCTAAAGGATACAATTCATTTATTCGTTCAACATTAATTTATTGAGCAGCTACAATCTGCCTGGGACTCTGCTAGGCACTGAGGAAATGACATGTACAATACAGTTATGATTCCTGTTCCTTTGAGGAAAGAGAAAGTCTTTCATTTATTTTTTTGTTTTTTTTTCTATATCCTTTAGCAGGAAGAATCCTGATAGTATAGTAGTTAAAACACTTGGCTGCTAACCTAAAGGTCAGCAGTTCGAGCCACCAGCTGCTCTGTGGGAGAAATATGAAGCTTCTTTTTGCTTTTGTAAAGATATACAGCCTTGGGAACTCTATGGGGGCAGTTCTACTCTGTGCTATAGGGGTCCTTTGAGTTGGAAATGACTCCCTGGCAGAGGGTTTGGTTTTCATCCTCTAGCATGGTGCTCAGTGCCAGGTCTCCTCATAAATGCTTAGTCATCTGCTCTAATTATATTGATTGGCTCAGTTTGTACAAACATTGCATTTTTAAGATAGTCATGCTTAGGAATATTTATTGGAACTTCCCCCATCTCAAGTGCTGACTCATTAAGTATACATAATTTTTAAAGGTCACATAAAACATTTGGATATTCTTTTATGGTTTATTCTACTATTTATTCTAAGTTTAGAAATCAACACCAGAATTTTGATTAACTTTCACTTCCATTTTCCTTGAGTTCTTGAGTGTTTTGTCTTTTAACATACATCAATAATATTATTTTGTTATATTGTATGAGGCTTTGACACTTTCTCAACTTTCTGAAATCTATGCTCTTCTGTGCTTCCAAAGTCTCAGGATACTTTTGTGTTAAAAATTTCAACCAAACAAAGGACAACAACATCAACATGGGTTCCTTATACAGCCTCCTTCACACAAGACATCAAATAAAATTCTGTAGATTTGGCCCAGGAAGCATACACAGTGCTGTTTTTAAAATCACCTCTGCTTCAATTGACTTTGGAATCATACTTAGACTCAGCTTTTATGTCCAACATAATCTTTTCTCATATGATAAGTTCTTAACTATATGCAAAAGTATTCCAAATAACATATATGACAGGAACTACTCACATTGAATTTAGCGTTGACTTCAGATTTATCCCTATCTGAAAGCCATTCCATACTGATTTACTTATATTTCCAATAATTCTACTCAATTCATTTCCCTCCCCTAATACAGAATTAATTCTTGTTTTGAGTAACACTAAGCTTGAAGGTATTTTATAAATAATGCAAACCAACAGTTCTCTTCTTAAAAGAAGTTATACTTAGAATAAATAAATTATAGTTTAACCAATTTAAATTAGACATAGGAAAAAATTCCTGAAAGGAAATGTTATTGAATCATCATCATCACATGAAAAAGAGTTGTAAATATCATTCTCTGGTTTTACTTATTGCTTTGTCTTTGGTCTTTATAGTCACAAACTGCATTTGTACTTTGTGTATCGATTACTTCATATGTTCATTATTCTCTATGGCTTTTGCCTCTTTATCTCCTCCATTCATATCATAGATGAGAAATATAGGTGATCATTTTTTAACTTTTGCTATTTTTCAAGATAAGAAAAAATCAATACTTAAATGTCTATAAAGAAAGGACTAATTTATTATGTTTTATTTGTAAGAGGAAATACCTTTCAGCCATTCAATTATAGGAGAATGTTTTCATGTAAAAATATTAAAAACAAACTTACAAATGAATGGGGCAGATTATGAAGTGGTATGTATTACATGATCCTTTTTGTTTACAAATGATAATGGGCATATACATTTGATTTTTGCATTGTGAGAGTACAAATATTCTTGATGTACGTATGACAAGATATTTTAATCGTGGTTCTATCTGGGTAATGGAAACTTGATGCAATTGTTGCTTTTTCTATGTCCTTTCTTTTTAATTTCTGAAATGATCACATATTTCTTTTGCAATTAAAATTATTTAAGCAAAATGATAGAAAGAAATCATTGTCAAAATATGCAGGAATGCCTGCACACTTGTTCTCTGTTCTCCTAAAGCACTCTGGTCCTAGTAGGGGGTTATAATCAACAGACTTCTTGATGATGCCCCTTTGTGGGTGGACAGCTTACATCTTACTCAGCAGTGTCCCTAGTACAGAAAATGAACCATGGCAGAAATAGACCCTCAATAACTATTTACTCAGTTAATAGGAATTTTTTCAGTTATTTCAGGGATGTTCTGAAAAGAAACTGAACTGATGAAGTAACAATTGATAAGTAATAAAATAATTGCTTGCTTGTGGAAACCTTAAAGAGCAGTTTCGTTCTAACAAGATAGGTGATGTCCCATGTGGATGTGGATGATGAGTTGGAGGTCAGTCAATTCCAGCAATCTGACTTAAATGTTCACTTATCTCTCCAAGTTATATAGGCCCAAAGCCTATCATCACATTTTTTGGAATTAATATTTCCCCTCTTTATTTTATTTTTAGACAAAATCAGTAAAGAACTTGGTAAGTTCTATGTTTCTTTCTTACGCAAAATTGAAAATGCACTTTGTGTCTGCTCAGAACACTTATTTCTTTCTGCTATTGGTTGCAGAGGAAAGAAAACTCTTGGGAGGAGAGAGTAAGTAAAGCCAAGATTTTCACCATTGATGTAGCATATGCCATTATTTATTGCAGTCTCTGCCCTGCCCGGTGCTTTGCCTAACCTTGAACGTCTCTATCTAATTGTAGGTCTGAAGAGAGCTCAAAGATTTGCAGGTAAATAGAAAGTGACCAATGTGTGGTAAGGAATTACTTCATGATTGCCATTTAACCACTCCGAATTTTTCTTGTAAAAGAAAAACATGTTGCTCAAATGATCCATATAATATTTTGTACTCATAAAATCATTTGATTCTATGTATATGCACCTAATATTAAATAAGAACTAAGTTACTATTTGAAAGACATTACATTCTTTCATTTTTTAAAAAATACTACTTTAAAAGAATGCATAAGCTATGCAAAGCTTTGCATATCAGGTCTTCTTATTAACAATGGGGTCATCTTATACTAAAATTCAGAATGTAGGTTAATGAGAAATAGGTCATCTCTCTTTCTTGTTTTTAAAATATATTTTATTGAAATATAATTTATGTATCATGAAATACACAAAACTAAAGTGACATGGGTCAATGTGTCATCACTCTTATCACACCAATACCACAACCACAAAGATTCTCCAAAGCCAAAAATATTATAAGGTAGAGAATTTATTTGGTTTCTGTTCTTTCTCCTCTTCTCTTGAAACGTGAATTCATTCATCTCTATCAGATCATTGCCATTGGCATAGAAATGTATCATTATTTTTCTTATATAATAAAAAATGGAAAGAACCACAAGCTCACTTGATCTAATTTCCCTATGCAGCTACTATCATATTTCTCCTTTGTTTACAGCAAAACTGCATTAAATAGTTGTGAATCCTTATTTTCTCCAATTTTTATCCTCTCATTTATCTGTTTCTTATTCAGAAAAAAAAAAAAGCCCAAATCCTGAAAATGTTCTTCATGGTCCTAAACAGTCCTGCAACCCTTCTCTACCTTCAGTTACATTTCTAATCACATCTCCTTCCACTCTCCTCTTTCTTCCTCTCCTCCAGCTGCACCTGCCACTTCCTTGCTCTTTGAACACACTGGAGCTGCTTCTGCCTCCATGCTTTGCAAGTAGGGGTGCTTCATGGACATCACTCTGTCATACTTTTCACTCTATCCATACTAACATACTCGGCATGCTATTCCTAGTGCAATTATTTAGAAAGCATTCTGAGATTCAGACTATTGTTATAGATATTTGACAGCAATTATTTCACAAATCAGTTTCAGTGCTGAAATATTTGGAGGTATTTCTCCCAAGAAAAGACCTTCAGATTTATGGGTTGAATGGTATTACGGACAATGGTGTACAGAAGTTTATTTTATTTCCCACTCTCTATGTATTTAAAGGATCTGCTTTGTTTCCTTCTCCTGCTTGGATGTCTTCCTTGGAGTATGAAAGGTCTTTTTTTCAGTCCTGCAATAAATCAATCTATTTCTTCTTCTGCAGAAGATATAATACTGGATAGAGACACTGCTCACCCTTATCTTGAGGTGTCGGATGATGGAAAATCTGTAACATCTGTGGAAGCAAAGAAGGACTTACCCGACAATCCTGAGCGATTTGATACTATGCCAGCTGTGTTAGGCAAGAACACCTTTTGTGGTGGTAATCATTATTGGGAGGTCAGAGTAGAGGGGAAAAATAGATGGACAATAGGACTGTGTTCAACCTCAGTTATTAAGAAGGGACAGTTTATCTCTGCTAGCCCTGACAATGGTTTCTGGACACTTTGCCTGAAGAATGATGTGTACCAGGTCCTTTCCACTCCCCGTTACACTCTTGATGTCAAAGAACCCATGTTGATTGTGGGAATTTTTCTGGATTATGAAAGGGAGTTGATAACTTTCTACAATGCGACAGAATTTGCTAATCTCCCATTTCTCTATAGCTTCAAGTTTACACCCACTGAGAGCTTGCAGCCATATTTCTACCCTGGACCTCTCAATGAGAGAAACAGTAATGGCCTTACTATCTTGTAGGTATCAGCAACATGACTTGAGTCCATCACTAGAAAAGATTAAGATACATTCCCACAGAGGTCAACCACGTGGACCACGATAGCATATAGCAATTACACAAACAGTACATTGCAAGTCAGGAATTATAAAAGACTGCCACAGAGCACCCAATCTCCTACACAGCCTTATTGGGAACTGAGAATGATACCTCTCATTGGAAAATTTTTACCACTCATCCTAACAACCCATCCCACCATTAATAAACTTCCTTTTTCCCTGTTGGTATTAAGAAATGCAAAGCTTTCTCATATTTTCTACATCTGTGGTTGAGATTCTGAAACTTGTTAGCTACTTTTCTCAACAAATCACTGTTATACATTTCCCAACATGTGTTATTCCAGATTTATTTCAGTTGCAGCAATAAATTGTGGTCTCTACATGACTAGAAACAATACTGATCATTTTATAGCCATCACTGTGCCAAAATCAAAATAGATACAGTACCATACAGAATAATACTGAATTGAGTAAAATTGAATTCTATCAACAGTCAAGCTTGCCCACACTTAAAAAGACATTTCTGTACAGTGCCTATCATTGTACCTAGCCCCTTCCCCTGGGCTCCTTAAGTCATTGCTATAAAAGGTGCTTATGACACACAACTCATACATTTTGCCCGCAGAGTCTACATCATTAAGCATTATGCTATTCTGTCTCTTATAAAAGATATAAAGCCTTACAGACCACCTATAGAGTAGCTGACTTAATAATAATTAAAAAAAAAAAAACCCCACAACATTGAAGTAGATGAATTTATAGAGCAGTCTGCACTCACACAATATTGGTGGGAGTAGAAAATTTCTCAGTCGCTTTGAGAAAATATTTGAGTTTCCTGTTAAAGTTAAACATACAACTATCCTCTCATCAGTGATTCCACTACTCTGTATTTACTCTAGAAAAATAAAATCATATGAATACAAAAACTGTCAAAAACGTTCATAGATTTTTTTTTTTAATAATAGCTGAAAATTGGAAAAAACACAAATATCTATCAGCAGGAAAATGCATAAGTAAATTTTAATATATTCATACAATTGTGTACTGTTTGACCTTAAAAAAGAATGAACCACTGATACATGCAACAATATGGATGATTCTGTGATGAGATATGCTGATCTAAAGAAACTGGACACAAAAGAATACATGCTGTAGGATTTCATATGTATGAAGTTTTCAAACAGGCAAAAATATGGCAAATAAAATCAGAGAAGTGGTTGCTTTTGGGTGTGCTACTGACTGGGAAGGAACAGAATTGAATTTCTTGGAGTGATGGAAATGTTCTGCATTTTGAAAGGGATGTGGATATCATGGATGTATTCATGGACTTAAACACATCAGAGTGTACACTTAAGATTACTGTATTTTACTTGTCAGCCTCCAATATGGTCCCCAGTATTCTGTGCTTCCTGTTATTGATGCCCTTGCGTAGACTCCCCACCACAGTATAACAAACAGACAGACGAATGTTGGTCATGTGGATGAGCCACCTTGAATTGGATTATCCAGCTAGTCAACCCAGCATTTTACTGCAACTTCCTGAGAGATCCTGACCCACAACCACTCAACAAAGACCCAGAATTCCGGAGCTACAGAAATTTTGAGGGATGCCAAAGAACAAAATCCTTACTCCATTAGGATTACAACAGAGAGTTTTAAGGAAGAGTACTACAGCTGCAATCAGGGAGCATGAAGTGAAAGTGCTAAATGATCTGAAGTACAGAGAAGGAGGAGGGTTTTTTATATAGAAGAAGTGTAGGGAAACAGTAATCATTAGTAGTATCAGTTAGTCTGCAGACATCCTGGAGCCAGCCTGCCCAAGCATTGTGTGAAAATGGTTGGGTTGGGTTTATCTTTCAAAGAAGGGGCAGTTTGCACAAAAGCATTCTTTCTTGAGAACAGCCAGTTTCCTCACCTCCCCTCATTCCCTCTGGGACAGAGCAGATTTACCTGTTACTTTGAGTTTGACGCCAATGCCTCTCATTTCAGGTATCTGCTAACAGAGATAATAAATGATTGTGAGTGTTTTAAGCCATTAAGTTTTGGGATGATGTGTTAGACAGCACTAAATAAATAATACACAATTAATATAAATTTTCTGTAAAAAAAGAAATGAAAGTAAATAATTATAAGTACCATTTAGTGGGTTTACTCTTTGCAGTGGTATGGGTTAGCATTACTGACATACTGTTTGTACATTCTAGACTTGAAACAAATCAGTCAATATATTATGGATAATGAGACTCTACAAACTAGAAACTGAACTTAACCCCTGTGACTCAACTGGCAGCCAAACGATAGGCCTATAAGGTGAACACTAATATCATGAAGGTATGCACTCACTAGAACAATCAAGCCTATAAGATCAAGAGGACAGCATTTGTCCAGGGATAGACCTAGGAAGGTAGGAGGGGATGATGGGAAAGAAGAAGGAAGGGAAGGGGTGGGCACAGGGAGGAAGTGGGAAGAATGGTGTTGGGAGTGTGGGTTCTGCAGTAAATGTCACAGTACAGAATGTGTATGGATTGTTGAGTATAAAACCAGTTTGCTCTGTTTGCTTTTACATGAATCACAATTAAAAAAATTCAAATAAACAGTTGGAAAGGCAGTTACAAATGTATTTATTAATTCCAAAGCAAAAATAGTAACTCTGTATAACATTACAGTGGATATACCTGCTGGGCACCACCTAAACTAAGTTACAAATTACAGTTAACATTGCCAGTAGTGGGGCAGACCAAAATTATGTGCCTTTTGATATACTGTACTGAGAAAGATATAAGATCATTTCTGTGATATCTGTTGTACAAATGCCAGCTTGAATCTAGTCATGGAGAAACCAGAGAAATCCAAATTTAGGAACATTCTATAAAATAATTATACTGTTCAAAATTCAAAAGTTGAGAAAGGCAAAGAAAGCCTGAGAAACTGTTAGAGTTTTTTTTTTTTTTTTTTTTTGGTATA